CCGCGGCGGAGCGGGTCAAGGCGCTTCGTGCGCAGCATCGGAGGGACGTCCCAGCTCTCATCACGGCTATTTTGGCGGAGACGGTCCCGAACCCGTTGCCGGCCAGGCTGCAGCGGCTCGGATACACCCTTTGCCCTCGCAAAGTGCCCTCAGCAGTGCCGCTTGAGGGGGACGGCAGCGTGCCTCCCTCTCCGGAGGCACGCGAGCCACCGACGCCGCCCACCGCACGGCACGACGGCTCTTCGCGTCTCCCAACCTCCCCCGACGACGGGGTGGGGTTGCAGGTGTCTTGAGCGCCACACGTCATCGCTTCCCGACATGCCCCTAGCCAGGCCAGGCGCCTCTTAGCTGACCATTTCTTCCTAGGCGACCCTCGAGTGGTTCGGAGATAAGATCGAGGACCACGGCGCCGCTTCGGTGGTGCGAGGTGGCGCCATCCTCGGACGGCTCCCCATATGGCTGCGAGATCAGTTTGACCGCATGGAGCAACTGCGGCCGACGCGTGCCACGTCGCGACTGGCGCTCGCGTTGCCTTTGCAGGTGACGAAGCGGATGCTGCCGGTGCCAGAGTCAGATACGGAGTTTGACACTGAGTACACGACACTGCTCGGCGGCGACGTGTTGCCGGAGTCATTTAGCGATCGGTCAAAGTTGGCGTATGAGGCGCTGGCCCGGGCGCGGGCCACTCCCGCTGCCGTCGGCGCCGTCGGCGCCGTCACCGTTGCCACCGTCGCCACCGTCGCCGCCGTCGCCGCCGCTGCTCCGACCTCTTCTCGTATTCCACCTTCAGCCACAGCCGTCGCCGCCGCTGCAGCTTTCCTGGCCGTGGACCGTCTCCCGTTGTTTTTGCTCCGACCGGCGCTCGCCGTTGCGGTGGCGGCAGACACCGTCGGTTGTGTACCGCCGGCAGAGACTGCGGATGGGCTGCTGGCAGAGCACGGGGCAGAGCCCGTGGACGCCGCAGCTGCCGCCGCCACCGCCGATCGACCACAGCGAGCCCAGCCGAGTGCCGTCAGGCCAATCGCGTTTTGCAAGTGGCGGCCATGCAGCCCGTCGCAGGCAGTCGCTTCTGCCGCTGACGCCGCCGCCGCCGCCGCCGCCGCCGCCTCATCCTCCGCAGCCGACGCCGCTCTCGCCGCCCGTGTTCGGCCACTCGAGGCCGCCGCCGCCGCCGCTCTCGCGGCCGCCCGCGCCGCCACCACCGCCGCCTCTACCTCTGCCACACAGCTCCCCTCCCACGCCACCGAGGCCTCCACCCGCAACCCCGCCACCGCTGCTGCCGCCGCCACCCCAGCCGCAGTCCCCACGCCCACTGTGGCGGCCGTCACGGCGCCGGCGCCACCAATGTCGGTTGCCGTAGTGCACCGCGTGCTGCGTCTCGAAAGGGCGGGCGGAGCGGTGGATCGGGGTGAGCTCGATGTCGACGACCTGTACGACGAGCTGTTGCTCTCCGTCTTCCAGGGGCTGAGATGTCAGCACCTCGAGTTTCGGTCACGCTTCTACGCGCCCAACGGCGACGCCATCGTGCAGGCCTTTTGCGCAGAGCACACGGACAAGAATTTTGTCCAAGCCCGATCCGAGGCGAGCCGCCCCCGCCCCCCTCTGCCCGCGATCTGCCCGCAATCTGCCCGCAATCTGCTTGGGCCTGGCCCTCGTTCAACTCGCCCGTGAACCACTGTCCCACCCCGCTGCTCGTAGAGCAAGAAGGTTGCTGCCGACGCCCTCATCTCTACGCCTGTCATTCTCGAGGCAGGGCGAGCGCTCGCCGAGCAGGACCCGAAAAAGTTTGCGCTGATTGCGCCTTTCCTCCGGACTACCGACATGCAGAGCACCCCCTCCATGGCTTGGCCGCTCGTGTCCCCCGAGCTGCAACGCGCGCTTGACGGCACCAAGGAGGGTGTGGTGCTCGAGGCGCTCGGGCTAGGTAACCACCCCCTGTCTCCTCCCCCCATATCTCCCCATATCTCCCCATATCTCCCCATATGCTTCTCCACGCGCCCTGCCCGGTCGGTCACGGACCTGCACTGCGCACACAGCTGTGCCTTTACCCACCTTCGGGAGAGAAGCGGCGTCGCTGGGCCGGTTCGCCCCCAAAGGCGGCCCCGCCATGATCCCGGAGGAGAGGGGTGCGTTCGGGGCACCCCCCGCTCTCACGTAAACGGCTTGCCCAGGCAAGCTGTTGACCGTGAGACGTGAGGCAGTATAATCATGGGTACCGAGATTTCCCTAGCTCTTTGCCAGCCCTTGTCTATAGGTGGGCGCCCACATCCCAGCGCATATGCCATATCTCCCCACATCTCCCCGTATCTCCCCGTATCCTCCTAGTTAAAGCAGTCCGCCCTCCTGACTGGTGGATGTGCCGCGTGGATGTGGCCGCGCGTGTGTGGCGACTGATCGACTTTTTCCCTGTGCGTACTCCACGCAGGCTACCGTGCGCGGAACATGCGCGGGCTTACGCCGGAATGCCGTCTCCTCTTCACGGAGGTCCTCCGCTCGGCTACGGTTTTGAACGTGTGGGGCGAGCAGCTGCTCATGCCCTTTGGCGGCGGAGCCGTGCGCGCGCGGGAGGGTCGGCTTTCGGGGGTGCGCGCCCAACAGGTGCAGGGAATGGGAGCGGGGAACCTCCTCCGGTATCTGCAGGAGGCGGACGCGCGAGCAGAGGTTCGCCGCCGGCACCCCGGGTGGGAGCCGAGTGCCAAGCTTTGGCACACAAACTGCCTGGAGAATGGCTTCTCCGTGCTCTGCATGCTGTGTGGCGGCGTGAAGCCCGAGCTGGTGCAGTGCTTGGCGGCGCTCCGTCGCGCGGACATCACCGAGCTTCTCCGCCACGATCCGAAGACCGCATGGCTGACTGTCCGCCGCAAGAAGAGGACAAGGCGCGCCCATCCACCCAACCCCCCCCGCCCCCACCTCTCCCAGCACAGCACAGCCTCCCGGCGCCACCCTGCTCCACAGCTCGAAGTACTCTGCGGCGTCCAGCGACGGCGCGGGAGGCACCGCCGTGGCTGAAACGTGGTACGACACGTCCAACATCCTCCCCTCCGCCGAGGGCGTGCGTGCCTTCGAGAGGCTGACCGAGCAGACCGCGCTGAGCAACGCCACCTCAGGGAACGAGCGCGTGCGATCAAACTTTGCCAACAAAGGTCTCGGCTCGGAGGCCGGAGCCGCAATGCGCGGGCCGTGAGTGCGTGAGGACAGCAAAATGTGTTTCCTCAAATATTTTGGCACGTCAGACTGACCAAGACACATTTTAGACTGACCACGCTGTCGGCACACGCAGCTGTGAGCGTCGCGCGCGCGTGTCCTCAAGTGTGTCTGTTCAGAGACGGCACAGCTGAGAGACCGCTGCCCTGATCCACAGGCCGAGCCGGGGACGGCGGGGGCGGCCACTGGGCACCGTCGTGCGCCGCAAGCTGCCCCAGTCACGTCGGCCCGGCGCCTCGAGGGAGCGCCGCCTAGAGGAGCGCCGCCGGCCACGCGCCTCGAGCGACGGCGCCGTCCCGACTCGTCGCCGCGACGACGAGAGAGGAGCGCTGCCTGGCGCGCAGGCAGCGAGCGCGCTCGAGGTGACCGAGCTGATCCGCGTGTGGCCGCCGCTACGCGACGCCGCATCTCGCACGGATGACGCCAGAAGCTCGCACGACGGCGCGGGAGCGCGCGGCTGGCGGGAGTGCGTGCGATAGGGTGCCAGAAGGCCGGCCGAGCATCGCCAGCGCGGCTCGAGGCCGTTGCCCGGGCCCCGCGGCGGGTCGAGGAGGCGCTCGCGGAGGCGACAGGAGCGCGCGGCACAGCTCCCAACTGACACCGATCTCGGACCTGAGGAGAGGAGGAGGCGGGCGTCGGTGCACCCTGAGGGCGCCTGCAAAGCGGCAGGTCCGAGATCGATGTCGTTTGGGAGCTGTGAGGTGTCGGAGAGCTCTCGAGGTCTCGACGGGCAGCCTGACCCCTCTCCTCCCACCCACCCACCTCCCACAGGCAAACCTTCGGCTCCCGCTCAGAGGCTCGCCGCGCCCGTGCGGCGCGCCGAGGCGGCGCCGAGGCCGGCGCCTTGCACCCGGCCCGCGGCCGGCACCGCCTCGCCCCACAACTGACCGCCCTGCGGCCCCTGCGCAGGCGTACCACAGGCGTCGCTCAAAAAGCGACGCCGGGTGTGGGCTGCTCCCTTGACCCGTCACCCGCCGCGCCCTCGCCCGGCCGCCTCACCGCTCACGGAGCGTGCTCGCCGCCGCCGCCGCGCGTCCCGCGCCGCCACGCATGCCCCTTGCCCTGACGCGCGCTCTGTGCAGCGGCGCAGAGCGCGCGTCCCTGGCACAGACGGAGCAGCGGCCGCGCCAGCGGTCGCTGCTCCGCCCCCCCGTCGCGCGCGCCGCGCGCGCGCTGCCGCCGCCGCCGCCGCCGCCGCCCCCTCCTCGCCGTCTTCCCCACCCTACCCTCTGTTGCGCGCGCCGCGCAGCCGCGCTGCGCGCCCCCGCCCCCGCCCCCGCCCCCGCTCCCAAGCGCCCCTTCCCCGGTAGGTGTGCGTAGAAAGTAGAACCAATCGAGAGGTGGCAGAAGCCGCCGTGTGTGACACATATTGCGGCACGTGAGAGTGAGACAGAGCCCCGGCAGCGCGGGCCAGCGCGCGCGCGCGCGCGCAGCGGCCAGCGCAACAGTTCAAACAGCAAACGGGACGGCCTGCGCAGCCTCTAACTATCTCAGACCGAGAAGTTGGGGGACTGAGGGCCCAACTTCAGAATCGTGCTTTTTGGGTTGGGTTGGGTTGTTGGGTTGGGTTGGGTTGTTCGCGTGGGTTGGGCGGTCGTCGGCGCGATGGGTGAGGTCTCGACCGCCGCCGCTCACGCCAGCGGACGGCCACCATCGGTGTTTTTGGCTTCGCCACCGTCCAAGACGTGCGCCATGCGCTCGCCGGACCACCGCAAGTTGCGGGCAAGCGCTGCCTAGGTGGAAGGATAAAAAAGAAAAAACCCGCGCCTCGAAAAGCTGCGATAAGCTCCCTCGATCTCTGACAACCTCGAAGAATGTGGGCTTCGCCTGCCTGCCCGACGCCTCCCCCGCCGCGGGGGCCCGTCCCGCGACGCCCACCGGCCGACCCCCACACTCGCCCCCCTTCTCAGGACCCGCCTCACGATGATGCTCGCCGGCGCCGGCGTCGCCTCGGGCCTGATGGTCGGCACCGCGCCGGCCGCGCGCACCTCGGCAGTGCAGATGCAGGTTGCGGGCGTTGCGGCCGCGCCGGGCCTCGACATGCGCGGCTCGACCGGCAACCCCCTCGCCGCCGACTCCTCCATCCTCGTCCAGGGCGGCTCGCTCCGCACCTGGTCGTACCGCTCGCCGTCGGTCGAGCAGGTCCAGGTGGTGCTCAGCACTGAGGGCCGCCCGCTGGACGCGGACATCGAGCTGTGGCAGGGGCCGGACAACACGCCGTGCAAGATGCGCGTGTACGTCGAGAACGGGCAGCTCCGCCCCTTCAGCGCCGTCGTCGAGACGCCCCGCGGCCCGAACACGATTGCCATCCGCAACATCGGCCAGATCGAGTTCCCCCTCGCGGCCAACGTCGTCGCGGACAACGTCGACAGCCCGTCGGCCGAGTGCCTCGACACGCGCATGACCATCCAGGGCGGCGCCCTCCGCACCTACCCCTTCGACCCCTCGGTCGACAGCGTCCAGGTGATGCTCAAGACGGACGGCCGGCCGCTCAACGCGCGGATCGAGCTGCTGCAGGGCCCGAACAACAACAAGCAGGTGATCGAGCTGTACACGGAGGACGGCCTCGACCGGCCCTTCTTCTGCATCCTCGAGACCCCCGGCTCGGGCAACGTCGTCCGCGTCGTCAACACCGCCCCCGTCGAGTTCCCGATGACTGCCGGCGTCGTGCCCAACTCCATCAACCAGCAGATGTCGTACGACGCCGTCCTCGGCGGCGACGTGGTCCTCGGCGGCGACGCCGGCTGGTAAGAACCCCGTACCCCGCCCGCATGCGGCGGCGGGCCGCACGGTCGCGCGCACCCCGAAGAACAGGGGGCGGCATGGGGAGGGGGGCGCGCACGCGCCCGATCGTAGGCCTCTTCCGCCCGCGCCCGCCGCGCAGCGCCACCGCCCCGCCGCAACCACTTCCCCCGCAACCATGATGCTGCATACAATCGTACGCCAGTGTGTGCTATGTGTGTCCCTGTATGTGCACTGGTCTCGTGTGTGCGCCAGCCCGGAATGCACCTCCCCAGCAGTTCAGTGTGAGAGGGAGGGTGAGGGAAGAGCGCACGGCGCGAGCGCCGCGCGTGCCCTTCCGACTCTGTATATGTCGTCCGGACTTTAAGATTGAGCTCTGAGAAAAGAGAAGAGTCTGGCACACTTTGTCACTTTGCCGTTTCGCTTTGCGAGCAGGCGCGCCGTGCGCCCCCGCCCCCCCCCCCCTGTGTCCCGCTCCCGCGTCGGCGGAGGCGGCCGGGCGCGCCTCTCACTCTCTGTCCTTGGAGCGGGTGGGCGTGCGCGTGGCGGGTTGCGGCGAGAGCGGGAGCTCGCCCGAGACCTGTGTGCCGTCTGTGTGAATGGCGCCTTCTCCGGACGGGCTTTTTTCATCCAACTCGAGCCACCGAATGACCGAGCTCGAGCAATCGCAGAACGCCGCCAGCGAGGCTGCCGCCGCTGCGGTTGCCCGCCTCAAAGATGTGGTGACCGCCCGCGAGGACGCCGAGTATGCGGCGATGCAGGCGCGGGCGGAGGCGGAGCGGGCGGCATCCAACACGGACTACTTCCCAACGACCTCCTTCTCGAAGCAGCACCCCAGCACGCGGGTGGCCACGCCAGCGACGCGGCAGCGGCTGGCCAACCGGCTGAAGGAGGCCGAGATCCGGGCTGCGATGCTCAGGAAGAAGGAGCTGGAGGTTCAGGCTGAAGCGGCGGCTGCGGTGGCGGCCGAGAAGGAGGCGGCGGCTGCCGTGGAGGCTGAGAAGGAGGGGTCGCGCATCCGAGGGCAGGCGGCACTTGCGGCGCAGGCGGCGCTTGCGGCGGCCACAAAGGCCGACGAGCAGGCGTCTGCGACAGCCATGACCGTCCGCGAGAAGGGCGCTGTCGCTCAAGCCGCAGCCGCCTTGCAGCCTGCCCTGCCTTGCGTGGACACTGCGGGGGAGGGAGCGGCGCGAGCAGGAGCTCCGGACGCGGGCGAGGGCAGACCACTCGTGCAGTGGACCTCGAACGGCGCGGCGCTGTACGAGAGGGCGGTGGCGCGGCGCGAGCAGTCTGCGCTGCGCAATGTCGTCGAGGCGATGGACGAGGTGACGCAGCGGACGGAGAGGGAAAGGCGGTCCTCCATCGCTGCGGTGGAGGCGGCGAGGTCGCTGGCGGCGAGGCGGCGAGTGGAGGCCGAGTCGGCGGCAGTGGCGGCCAAGGCGGAGGCGGCGGAGGCGGCGAGGGCGCGAACCGCGGCCATTGAAGAGGCTGCGCGGACGAAGGAGCTGCTGGCGGAGGAGAGGGTGGCGCGGAGAACGGCGGAGGAGGGGCGCGCGCAAGCAGCAGAGGCGGCCCGGACGAGGGCGGCGGAAGCGGCGCGGCTCTCCAATCTGCTGGAAGAGGAGAAGGCGGCGCGGACGGCGGCGGAGGAATCGGGGGCGCGAGCGGCAGAGAAGGCGGCGACAGAGGCGGCGCGGGCACGCGAGGAGGTGGCGAGGCTGGCCGAGCTGTCGGAGGAGAGGAGGAGGCTTCTGACGGAGCAGAGGGCGGCGCGGGACGCTGCGGAAAAGAGCGAGACGCAAACGGCCCAGCGGGCCCAGGCGGAGGTGGCGAGGGGGCGTGCGGAGCGCGCGGAGCTCAAGGCTGCGCACTCCAAGACTCTCTACCAGGCGAAGGCGGAGCGCGCGGCAGAGCGTGCGGAGCTCGAGGCTGCGCACGCCAAGGCTCTCGACCAAGCGACGGCAGCGCGTGCGGAGCTCGAGGCTGCGCACGCCAAGGCTATCGACCAAGCGACGGCAGAGTGCGCGGAGCTCGAAGCTGCGCACGCCAAGGCTCTCGACCAGGCGACGGCGGAGCGTGCGGCAGAGCGTGCGGAGCTCGAGGCTGCGCACGCCAAGGCTCTCGACCAAGCGACGGCGGAGCGCGCGGAGCTCGAAGCTGCGCACGCCAAGGCTCTCGACCAGGCGACGGCGGAGCGTGCGGCAGAGCGTGCGGAGCTCGAAGCTGCGCACGCCAAGGCTCTCGACCAGGCGACGGCGGAGCGTGCGGAGCTCGAGGCTGCGCACGCCAAGGCTCTCTACCAGGCGACGGAGGAGCGTGCGGAGCTCGAAGCTGCGCACTACAAGGCTCTCGACCAGGCGACGGCGGAGCGTGCGGAGCTCGAAGCTGCGCACGCCAAGGCTCTCGACCAGGCGACGGCGGAGCGCGCGGCAGAGCGTGCGGAGCTCGAGGCTGCGCACGCCAAGGCTCTCGACCAGGCGACGGCGGAGCGCGCGGCAGAGCGTGCGGAGCTCGAGGCTGCGCACGCCAAGGCTCTCGACCAGGCGACGGCAGAGCGTGCGGAGCTCGAAGCTGCGCACGCCAAGGCTCTCGACCAGGCGACGGCGGAGCGCGCGGAGCTCGAAGCTGCGCACGCCAAGGCTCTCGACCAGGCGACGGCAGAGTGCGCGGAGCTCGAGGCTGCGCACGCCAAGGCTCTCGACCAAGCGACGGCGGAGCGCGCGGCAGAGCGTGCGGAGCTCGAGGCTGCGCACGCCAAGGCTCTCTACCAGGCGACGGCGGAGCGTGCGGAGCTCGAAGCTGCGCACGCCAAGGCTCTCGACCAAGCGACGGCAGAGTGCGCGGAGCTCGAAGCTGCGCACGCCAAGGCTCTCGACCAAGCGACGGCGGAGCGCGCGGCAGAGCGTGCGGAGCTCGAGGCTGCGCACGCCAAGGCTCTCGACCAGGCGGCGGCAGAGCGTGCGGAGCTCGAAGCTGCGCACGCCAAGGCTCTCGACCAGGCGACGGCAGAGTGCGCGGAGCTCGAGGCTGCGCACGCCAAGGCTCTCTACCAGGCGACGGCGGAGCGTGCGGCAGAGCGTGCGGAGCTCGAGGCTGCGCACGCCAAGGCTCTCGACCAAGCGGCGGCAGAGCGTGCGGAGCTCGAAGCTGCGCACGCCAAGGCTCTCGACCAGGCGACGGCAGAGTGCGCGGAGCTCGAGGCTGCGCACGCCAAGGCTCTCGACCAGGCGACGGCGGAGCGTGCGGCAGAGCGTGCGGAGCTCGAGGCTGCGCACTCCAAGACTCTCGACCAGGCGAAGGCGGAGCGCGCGGCAGAGCGCGCGGAGCTCGAAGCTGCGCACGCCAAGGCTCTCGACCAGGCGACGGCGGAGCGCGCGGAGCTCGAAGCTGCGCACGCCAAGGCTCTCGACCAGGCGACGGCGGAGCGCGCGGCAGAGCGTGCGGAGCTCGAGGCTGCGCACGCCAAGGCTCTCGACCAAGCGACGGCGGAGCGCGCGGCAGAGCGTGCGGAGCTCGAGGCTGCGCACGCCAAGGCTCTCGACCAAGCGACGGCGGAGCGTGCGGCAGAGCGTGCGGAGCTCGAGGCTGCGCACGCCAAGGCTCTCGACCAAGCGACGGCAGAGCGTGCGGAGCTCGAGGCTGCGCACGCCAAGGCTCTCGACCAAGCGACGGCAGAGCGTGCGGAGCTCGAGGCTGCGCACGCCAAGGCTCTCGACCAAGCGACGGCGGAGCGCGCGGCAGAGCGTGCGGAGCTCGAGGCTGCGCACGCCAAGGCTCTCGACCAAGCGACGGCGGAGCGCGCGGAGCTCGAAGCTGCGCACGCCAAGGCTCTCGACCAGGCGACGGCGGAGCGTGCGGCAGAGCGTGCGGAGCTCGAAGCTGCGCACGCCAAGGCTCTCGACCAGGCGACGGCGGAGCGTGCGGAGCTCGAGGCTGCGCACGCCAAGGCTCTCTACCAGGCGACGGCGGAGCGCGCGGCAGAGCGTGCGGAGCTCGAGGCTGCGCACGCCAAGGCTCTCTACCAGGCGACGGCGGAGCGCGCGGAGCTCGAAGCTGCGCACGCCAAGGCTCTCGACCAGGCGACGGCGGAGCGCGCGGAGCTCGATGCTGCGCACGCCAAGGCTCTCGACCAGGCGACGGCGGAGCGCGCGGCAGAGCGTGCGGAGCCAGAAGCTGCGCACGCCAAGGCTCTCGACCAGGCGACAGCGGAGCGCGCGGAGCCAGAAGCCGCGCACGCCAAGGCTCTCGACCAGGCATCGGCGGGGCGAGCGGAGCTCGAAGCTGCGCACGCCAAGGCTCTCGACCAGGCGACGTCGGAGCGCGCGGCAGAGCGTGCGGAGCTCGAGGCTGCGCACGCCAAGGCTCTCGACCAGGCGACGGCGGAGCGCGCGGCAGAGCGTGCGGAGCTCGAGGCTGCGCACGCCAAGGCTCTCGACCAGGCGACGGCAGAGCGTGCGGAGCTGAGGGCGGAGCTGGCGGAGGAGAAGGTTGCGCACGCCAAAACCCTCGGCGCCAGTTCCAAGGCAAGCGAGGAGATGCAGGCGTTGCGGGAGGCTGCCATGGATGCGGCAGCTCTCCGAGCGCTCGCCGAGGAGAGGGCTGCTCTCGCCGAGAAGAGGGCTACCCACGCAGCGGATGGCGATGCTGAACTCTCCGGCTTGCTGGCGGAGGAGAGAGCGGCGCGGGCGGCGGCCGAGGAGTTGGGGGCGAAAGCAGCAGAGGCGGCGACGGAGGCTGCGCGGGTCTCCGAGCTACTGGAGAAGGCGAAGGCAGCGGCGCCGACGGACGAGAAGGACGTGCCGAGCTGGTCGCGCGGTGCCGAGGCGATGCTCAACGGCGCGGAAATCAATCCCGTTAAGGGCAAGAAGAAGAAGAAGAAGGGCGGTCCGCCTGGGCCGTCGCAGGAGCCCGAGGCGGCGCCGGAGGCAGAGGCTGCCGCAAAGGCGGCGCTGCGCTCCGAGCTGCTGGCGGAGGAGAAGGCGGCGCGCGTGGCGGCAGAGGAGTTGGGGGCGCAGGCAGCGGAGGCGGCGACCGAGGCTGCGCGGCTGACTGGGCTGCTGGAGAAGGAGAAGGCGGCGCGGGAGACGCTGGGCGGCAAAGAGGTGGCGCGGCTCGTGGCCGAGATGCTGGCGAAGGAAAAGGCGGTGCGGGTGGCGGCGGAGGCGGCGACGGAGGCGGCGCGGGCGGCGGCGGCGGCGGCGGCGGAGGCGGCGCGGGCGGAGGCGGAGGTGGCAAAAGAAACGGCGGCGGCGGAGGCGGCGCGGGCGGCGCGGGCGGCGGAGGCGGCGGAGGCGGCGCGGGCGGAGGCGGAGGCGGCAAAAGAAACGGCGGCGGCGGCAGAGGCGGTCCCCAGTGGTACGCGGAAGCCTGCCCCCTCTATGCCGCTCCTTATTGGGAGGCATCCTGCGGCGAACTCGAAGCCGGCCCCCGGCCGGAAGGCCGAAGCTCGGGCACAGGCAATACGCCTGGTCTGCCGGCCCGAATGACACCGTCACGGTGGCTAG